AGATTCCTCACTTCTCGTCACCACTGCCATAGCCAATTGGTTCTCTAAACACCAGTATTATGCTACTCTGTCACTGCCAAAAGAGGGGCGGCGGGGTGACCGTTTACTGCTTCTGTGGTTAGTGTGTCTCGGTAATGGGTGGGTGCTTGGTGCTCCTATAACTGATGTGTTGGTTTAGCTTCGGAGAGAGTGTGGTGGTGATGTGTCCGTAAGCAATTGAATGAGTGGGATTGCTGGTCAGTGATTGAAAGACTGCATAAATGAGTGTTAAAACAAGTTTGCAAGGGTGACCGATAAAGGTGAGTGATTGTGCATCAGTATCGTCGACCTCACCTGGCCCCCCCTCTCCATGTGCCTTTTTTTTGTTTGTTTATTTGATTTAACCCTTGCCCCCAGGCTTCCTCGAGTCTGCTCGCCGTTAACGCCCAGCTCACCGCCGCCCTCGTCGCATCCCCAGTGCTAGTTGTTACGTTTGTTCAGTGTTAACCACTGCTTGAACGCATCTGCAAAAGCTCTGTGACTGGACCTGAGACACTGGCCAACATTTTATTCGCAAGACTCTCATTTGGGCTCCGTGACACTGGAAACCCTTATCAAGCAGTGCTTGACTGTGATGCACTGTTACGCCGTAAACCAACAAAGCATTCTTATCATAAACGTATGCTTTTGTTTTCTAAATTGACAAAAATTCTTGAGCATAAGCTTAGTTATAGTCATACCAAACAGTTACCAAATTTGGTTTTTGTTTGTCAGATGAAAAGACATTCTATTTTAGGAGTTAATCTGAAAGCTACCTTGTGTTACCCGTTCAAATGAGAGTGTGTTATAATGTTTGTGTTTGAAATAGCTGAATGTATAAGTAGGTGGCACAGATTTAGATCGCCTACCTGGTTAAATCACATAGCCGGTAGAGGAATGTCCTAGAAAACAAGCCGCTTCAGCTGGGGAAAAAAAAGACTGCTGAACCTGAGCTGCCGGAGGGATACTTACAGGACCTTTCCTCCAGAGGGAGCATGGTAGTGAAGTGGGGCTTTTTTCACTAGAAGGTGCTGTTGTTCTTGATTTTCTCTGATGATGATGATGTAGCATCTTCCCATACATTGTCACACACATCTGCATTGCTTCTTGTCTATAGTGTCTGTTTAACTTTGCCTGTAGGAATGAGGGAAAAAGGACAAGATGACCTGAGTTTTAGATCTTATTCTGGAGGAAAAGCAATGTCTGTTACCTGAAATAAGATGTCTCTTATGCCAGAGACAGAGTAGTAGCTGGTACTCCCAATGCTAGTGGTATTAAGATCTTTGGCTTGCAGATATTTGCGGTTGACTGATTTCCATGATGTTCGTAGCATCTGTTAATGATGACAGGTGTCTGCGGCAGATAGTTATCACTGGTTTTTGAGAAGAGCCTTCTATACAGAATTTTGGTTCTTAAACATGGTTCTTGGTTCGTAAACAAATCACTTACCTCCTTCTCAGACTTGCTCTTCCAGCTTAAGTCTCTTTGAATCTAGATGATACGCCCTTTCTGTCCACTTCCACTCTAGATATCGTCGACCTTCTTGTTTAAACTGGACAATAACAATAACACAACCTCTCTTGTTTGAATCCTATTATATTTAGAAAACGTCTATTTTGTTTTTAATTGTTCTTTTTTGTCCCCTCTCTGATTCTTTATAAGGATATCCCCTACTGAGTGAAAAGCCTACTCCAGTACTTTTGAAAGTCAAAGTGCATAATTTTTTATAATTCATGTATGAAACGAGAATAATTTGCAGGAGATAGGATGTGAGCTGGTCGTAATGTTTTTATCACCTTCTAATGAATATATGCATGCTTTGTTAATGTGTGTATATTGCAAAAACCTTGCGACTGGTAAAGTGTACTCTCCTACACCAGCTTCTGCATGAACACTGTTTGGCATCGCATGCTTACTGCAATAAACTAGAACTATGACAGAATACGCTATGTTGTGCTCATTTACATGTAAGAATTATTTAATTTTCTTTTTTTAATAAGTAAATGATTGCATACACTCAATCTCTTAGTTGTATTCTTAAATATTATTTTACATTTTTCCATAAGACTTTTTTTTTCTTGAAATGGGTCTTCTATCTTTCTTGTAACAGACTTGTCTCTATTTGTTTTAAATATAAAATAAGCACTATTGTGTGTAGTAAGCATGGCATGAATAGAGATGTTACAGGCATTACTATTTATTAAGAGGGAGACAGTCAGGGATTTTAACAGGCCTGGGATCTGCTTGTGCACCTATTTTCAATCCATAGCAGTCAGCTGGTTGTTGTTTCAACTGGCCCCAGAACTGCTGCTTGGGTAAGTAGATATAGACTACTGCCAAGGACAACAGGTGTTAGCAAAGTGGAGGGCACCAGGAGGCGTGTATGAGATAATTCCCTGCCCTACACTAAAAGAGCTACCAATTATTGGCCCCAGTGCACAGTGTGACCCGCCTCTCACACCTTTTAGGTAGCATAACCCAACACCCACACAACCAGATCTCTTATTTATTGGGGTGCAGTCACGTGTACTACTTTTGACCAGGACAGGAGCACTGGGCAGCAGAAGTTCTGCTCGCACCTCCACAAAGGCACCTCGGACGAGTGGAGTCTGGCCTCTTCCTCCACAGTCATAAACGTACAGCGTGAGCGGGTGTTCTCCTCTAACGCACGGACAGGATTTAGAGTTCACGATCTAGAGTGCAAGGCACGTAAATTCTAATATTAAGAGTTAGAGGGAAAAGTGTAAAAGATGACGACTGTTATTGAGACGCAGGTGCAGTATAACACCTACATGATGTCTACGGAAGACTACATGACTCAGGAGGATGACTGGGACAGGGACCTTCTGCTGGACCCTGCCTGGGAGAAACAGCAGAGAAAGGTATGTTCGTATGACTGTGCTGAACATCACTGCCACACAATCAAGTCACTTTGAGGGGGCAAGATTTATTTATTTTTGGGGGTTTTTTTGCATTTGTGTTATTACTTGGCAAGATTCCACCAAAATTCAATGGTTACTAGTTATCATTTCGATAACTAAAAATAACAATTCTTAAAGTTTTTTTTATACAGTTTGTATCACTGTATGCAAATAGTAGTTATACGTGTTGTAGTTTGAGTAAATGAGATGGCTCAATGGCTGATTTACCCAATTACATACATTTCCTGTAGTAACCTTTAGCTAAAATTCTGTATAGTCACTACAGTATTTATTACAATATGGTCAAAAAATAACGAAACTAAAACTACTCAAACTGCTTTAATGAAATCCTGTATTTTTTTCTCCTTTTCATTTACCATAGTAAGGATAGCGCTTTTACTATAGTAAGACTGGCTGTAGCGACT